TAATTCTAAAAAGTATGTTTGTTGAAGCCCCTAACTGAACACAAGACATCCTAATAAGGAATTAGGTTGGAAGAGAAAGCAGGTGTGGGGGAGGGGATAAGAAAACAAAGTGTAAAGATAAAAGTTGCAGAAGCTGAAACCCTGTAAAGTTCAAAAGGACTGTCACACTTTAGCAGTTTACCAAGGCTTCACAGTAATAGACCGGTGCATCATGACAAGTCTATGGCATTAACATTAAACTATATTCAGTTATTTTATAAAATCAAATAAATTAATTCTTAAAGGACTCCATCAAAGGCAGTTATTTATAGTAGGGTGGGGAGGCACATATTTGTAATCCCAGTACTATGGGAGAATGAAACAGGATTGCAAGTTTGGGCCCAGCCTGAGCGACTCAGTGACTTAGTGAATCCCTGTCTCAAACAAAAAAAAATTATTTTGTTTTGTTTTATATCTTATACAAAAAAATCAACTGTTTAGAAATTTCAGTTGTGAAAAACAAGGCTAGGGCTTTACTGTAATCCAGTAACAGTGAGTAATCTTTCTGATCTTTACTTATAGAATAATTGTCACTGATCCAATTTATGGCAGGAAGAGATACACTAGAACTGTTTTGATTTGATTCATACAACTTGCCCTGGCTCCACTCAACAATGGCATGAGCATGCAGTCACTATTACCGAATACCATGGCCCAAAAGCATGCTTAAAGTTGGCCCAACATTCCCTTCCCATCTAGGTTATGGACAGAAAACAAAACAAAATTAGGAATTGCTACAGACTACACTTGAGATGAGTATATACCCTGAGCAAACCAGAACAGGTCTCTTTACATGAAGAAACACCTTCAAAATCACTTCAGAGACAGCATAATCTCTCATGATGCTTAAAAGATGACACAAAAATTAAAAGCAACAAATTAGGGACTGGAGATAAATTCAGTGACACAAGCACCCTCCTGGCAGCTGCAAGGTCTTGTTTCCTATACCAAAAAAGGGGGCTGAGTATGTGGCTCAGTGATAAAGCCTTGCATGCACAAGGCTGTGTTTGATTGACAGCACCCCACAAAAAAGCAATAAATTATCAATTAGGTTTTCAGAACAACTTTGTCAACTATAAAATGCAAAACTTCAAGGCTAGATGTAGCTCAGTGGTAGGATATGTGTTCTGCAAAACCTGGGACCTCAGTGCTTTACTTCAACACTTCCCCAGAACTTCAGTACTACATGGTCTTATAATTGATGATTTCAGTTTGAAATGCCCAGATATTTTGTGAATGACCAGCTCAGGTACTTCAGAGGTAAAATCATTTCATAATTTAATTTCATGTCCACCTAGTAAATGTTTCCAATGCTTTCATATCCCTCCTATGTGTTCTTTCATCTAATAATTACTGAACAACTAATCTACTAGGTACTGGATTGGAACCCAAAGATGTAAGAAAACACAACATAACCTGAATCTATTGAGCGGAGTGTTTGGGGAATAAAACTCAAAGCCATCTATCTCCTCAGGACCTCTTTGAGATAAAGACCCTCTAGGACTGAAAACAATGAGTCTAGACTTATAGTATTAGATGGCAAACAACAGGTAATAGCATGTTACACATTTGAAGAATATACTCTCGAATTTATCTAGTAGAGGTGCCTTGTTATGTTGTTATAACTGAAATATTACAGACTAGGTGATACATGAGGAATAAGGTTTCATTTATTTAGCTCTCAGCTCAACAGCCTGAAAGTCAAAGAACATGGTGACAGTGTCCCAGCACGGTTTTCCTGCTACATCACAACACAGCAGAGGGCAGCACGTGGCAGGACAGAGTGAGGTACCAAAACATTTGCTTTTGTAGATGTACCCAAACCATAATATCTACACCCCAAACCATATGATGTTTAATTTAAAGGTTTAAAAGATATTTTTCAATCATAGCCATGTATGTCTGCAGTACTAGCACTCTGGGACAATGAAAGAGGAGCAGAAGTTCAAGTCCAACCTGGGCAAATGAGTGAATCTGTGCCACCCTGCCACAAGATTAAAAAAAAAAAAAATTAAATGGCTAAGGATGCAGCTTTGTGCAAAGACCTTGGGTTCAATCTCCACTACCACAAGCAAATTTTAAAATAAAAGCTATTTTTTTCTCTAATACTTTTTTCTCCTTATAAATGCACTGCATGACATGTAAAATTTTGAGTTCAGCTATTAGGGGAAGAAAAAAGACACAGAATAAATTTAAGTAAAGCAGTGAGCATATGTCTAGATCCTGTTTTTACTTTTTGTATAAAAAAGTATGAAGCAAATATTTCAACAAAATACTATTTACCCAAGCCAAGCCTAACCAACCCTGATGTTCAAGATATCCTAAGGCATTTCCTCTCTACTCTAAATTGTGGTTTCTGACAAAAGCTCTGTACTTTATAAAAATTATACCATGTAAAGCATATGAGCTACAAGTTTTTAAAAATGTAAAGTACCACATGCACTCATTTTTCTGACATTTACCAGCAGTTATTTAATACTCTAATTATATTAAAATGAATGCCAGATGTTTGTGGAACACATCCATAATCCCAAGATTCACAAAGGAAGCTGAGGCAGGAAAACTTTAAGTTCAAGGTTCATCTGGACTATATAGGAAGAACTTGTCTCAAAAAAAAAAAAAAGAGAACCAACTTGGGCCAGGGATATGGCTCAGCAGCACAGCACCTGCCTGGCCAGAGTGAGGTCCTGAGAGGACCTTCCAGTGAGGTCCTGTAATTCCCAGTACAAGCAACCAAACAACCCTATGTTATATTGTAGAAAATGAACATAAATTTTTTTGTTTTTTTGATACAGGGTCTCACTGCATAGTTCAGGCTGCCCCTAAACTCACTCACTATGTACCCCCAGCTGGCTTTTAACTTGCAGCAATCCTCCTGCCTCAGCCTCCTGAATGCTGGAATTATAGGTGTGAGCCATATGTGCCACCACATCCAGCAAGTTTCAATTATTAGGCTGTCAAAATGTTGAAAGTCTATGCCATTTTAACTTTTAAAATGGTAAATAATCACATTAGCTATTTCCACCATAATTTTTTGGTTGCTTTGCTTTGCCTTGCCTTGCTTGCAGTACCAGCGATTGAACCAAAGGCCTTCACATGGAACTATATCCCTAACCCTTTTCTAATTTATTATTTTTGAAAGAAGCTCTGAGTCACTGAGTGTACCGGCTGGGCTCAGACTTGCAATCCTCCTGACTCAGTTTCCCAGAATGCTGGGATTACAAGGAGTGTGCTATCAGGCTGTGCTCATGGTTCTTAATCTGTTACCACTATAACAAAAATTCTCACATTATTACTATGATTTTATAATTTACTTGAAAATATCAGCTGTTTACTTACAAAATTTACCTTTCCCTCATATTTTATAGAGTAAACTCAACAAACTTCATAGAACTCATATCATCAAATGTCTCTCATACTATGAGTCTCTTGGCTGCTCTGCAAGCCTCTGAATGAGTGAATCACTTAATAAATGTTTGCTGAAAGTAGGTAAATGCTCACCACATTTCCACCTCTTCAGCTGTACAGGCTTCTGGCAATCCAGTCCTGCTCCTGCTAACACATAAAACTGTGGTATAGAGAATATTAAGTATAAAGGAGTGACAAACACTACACTTCCTCCTATAAAAAAAAAAAAAAAAAAACAACAAAAACTAAAGCACAGAAAGATAACAACAAACTTTAAAAGCCAGACAACTAAAACGACATGCTGCCATGATATATGATCTTAGAATCCACTTTATTTTAAAACATGACACTTCAGAAGCTAAATCAGGGACTCAGAAAGCCTAATCCAAAAGTGAAACTGAATACACAGTCTATGTAAATCAAGAAAAGGCTTACAGGAGCACGTATCCAATTCATTCTATTCATTCTTCTGTAAATTGTGAGCATCTCCAGATAAAGCATCTTTAAATAAAAGGAGGAACAGCCTGGTAATGCAAATAAAAGAATTTCTTTGTTCCCAAAGTAGTGAAGCCATAAAACAAACCTTTACCTGAAAACCCAGAGATCCATAATTAACCTTTAAACTTTTCACAAATTGTCTTTTCTATATAACCAAGGGCATCCTTCCAAACTCATGGTTAAACAATGAACTCAAGTTCAGTAGTTTGTCTATAACAACTTCTAAGTAATCAACTGAGAAGTTACAAATCTGATTTATTGTGCAATATACATATTCAACAGTATATACACCACTCCACCTTGTGAAGTCTTCCTACTGCTATAACAAAGTACCTGAGATGGTAATTTATGCACAAAACGAAGGAAGCTAGAAGTCCATGATTAAAGAGCCAGCAAGTTTCCTATCTAGTGAACATCGGTTTCTCACAGATGGTGCCATCAAGATATCCTGTCAGAATAAAATGAGCTTAGGCTGGTTCTCCTGCCCTTTCATAAGGCAGAGCCCTTATGACTCAAATACTTCCCCAAAGGCCTTCCCTGGTAACATTATAGAAGTGGGAATCAAGTTTTGACATAATTCTAGAAGGAACATATTCAAAACCTAATATGTGCTTTCAACTAAATTTGATAACACATTTTAAAATAGACATTTATGGTCTCAAGAGGTCCCAACCAAGTTTTTAAACAAATCAAGAGAGCTGCTTTGATTTCTCTTTAATCAAGATCTATGCTGAGAAGCCAAAGTACGACCCTGAATTAGACAATGCTGGGGAATACAAAAACTTGCACTTCCCTTTTCATTAGCCAATAGGTAGAGCTTTAATTTTAAATGAAATTATAATTAGAAATAATGAGAGTTATTTCTCGAGTCACTCCACCTTTAAAATTATACTTCATTGAGACTTATCCTTTGAAATTACTAATGATTAGCTTTTCCTGTTCATGTGAGCATTTAGGAAACTCACAATTTTGTGGCATTTTTACACATGAAAAACTTGTGTACATCTGAGAAAGGTTTCTACAGATAGCACAATTTAAAAACCACTCCACCCAAAGACAGTTGTAAAAGTGTGCATTTATTCATTCCATCAGCTGAGAACTGCTATTTTACAAATACAGTATTGTACAAAAAAATCACAAAATGTTACAAAATAAAAAAGTACAAACTCATTACTTAATAAATACGACTAAAAGTAGTTAAAGTGGAAATGAGATAGATTTTAGATTGGAGATACTGTTTGACCCAGCAAACCATACAAGCTATTCACAGACACTTTTACATAATACAAGCAATCCTACTTTGCCATTTCGAAAGATTTTAAGACAATATTCTCCTGCTATAAAAACACCAGGGATGGTTCCATTTATGCTATGTTTTTGATTAAGCAGGAGACTTCCCTCATCACAAAATTGTATAGCATGTTAAAATTCTTTCATAAGAAAATGACAAGTGTAAATAAAAACAAGAGCACCAGACAATCTACTCTGAACACAACCAGAACACAGAATCATCCCTGTCATCAGAAAATATCAGACTTTCATTCAAGACTTGGTACAACACCTTAAAGAAAAAGTCTTCCTACGTACTTCAAGTACTTAAGTACTTGAAGACTGACCATCTCTAGAAAAATAACAATTTCCAAAACAAGGCCATTTCAACAAAATGGAATAGGCCAATCATCTGGTAACATGAGTACAACAATATCCACTTGAAAAAATTACCTAAGAATTGTAAAATTCAAATTCCAACATAAAGTAACTACTAAATCACAAAACTGCTGAAAATAATAAATTTCATAGAAAGCACTTCTCCAGATTTATGCTTGAAAGCTGTGTCAAAATGGAACACATCATAGATGAAGGTCCACCAATTTTTAAAAATGTGCAAAAATACATTTTTATAGAAAATAGACTACAGGGAATGAACAAATTCATTATACTGTGAGAAATCAGCTTGCAATTTTAGTGCTCATTTTATACAGCAAATTATAAGTAGCAGTAGGACCACTCAAAAGTATCAGGAAACATCATCTAGGTGCCCAGCAACCTTCAGCTCTGCGAAAACATCCAAAGAAATGATTAAGGCATTGCACCTACAGAAAAACCTACTAGGAAGTTTAAAAGTGCCATACCCTGATTAGAATTCATGTGATTCTCCAAATATAAGTTAAGTACGCGATTGCCCCAAGGGGTTAAGGTTTTCAGACATTTCAAGAGCATGCGTTTTGTTCAATATACATTTTGGACAGAGATATGGCCATGGATTTGGCAAGTTCTTCATCACGTTTTCTTTGCACTTGGGTTTGTTTGCACCAACTGTCATACTCTGGGTTAGGATACAAATGATCGAAAACCGCATCATAGTGTCCATTACTGAGCCAACTGAGCCAAATACTGGGCCTTAAGGAATCCTCCGGACCCAGATAGTGAATCATGGTAGACACCGTGGGACTCTCCAACCTCCCTCCAGTAGTTAAGTGTATATTCACATTCAGCATCTGCCCCATTGCCAGCAATTCGGGGTACCCGGCCCAAGCCCCGTCTTGGGCAGCAGCGACGATAAACTCCCCCACATCACCCTCAATCAGGGGATTAAAGTGGTCGAGATGGTCTGCAATGTAGTGTACCGTCTGCTCCCGCAGCTCACGATGCAGGCTCTGGTCTCCATACACAGCCTTGCTGACCGCTCGGTACAGGCAGTTGCCGTCGGGGATGATGTGGAACCGGAACTTATTTCGCTGCCGCAGGTATTTGTCCTGCCTCTCCACCTCGGCCAGGTACAAGGCCAGCTTCTCATCTCGCGGATCCGATCTGGACACTACTACTGTGTCAACCGCACTAGCCGGCGCTGCCTCTCCGCGAGGAGCGGCGGGCGCCTCAGGCTCCTGGTCAGGACGCCGCGCCGAGTGCGTGTTTGCAGGATCGCTGCGGTCGCCGCTCCGATCCCAACCGCGGGGGACTCGCTCGGCCCGTGGCTCGTCAGCCCACAATCCGGGGCTGGGCTCAGGGCTCCCCGGAGGCGGCGCGGGCCCGCGGTGCTTGGCAGCGGCCAGGGCCTGGCGGTGCTCGCTCAGTCGGAAGTTCCTGTCGGGGCTCTCGCGCACCGCGTCCGGGCCGGGCTCGGCGCCGTCGGGCCGCAGCAGCTCCTCCAGCAGCCAGGTCGAAGAGCCCCTGCGCGGCGGCGG